ACAGTAATCTTAAAACATTTTAGGATGCTTATATCTAATCATTTAATCTTGGTATAAAATTAGTAAAAATATTAGGGTTATTTGAAGGTGAATCTGAACATACGATAAATTGAATTAAAATGTTAATAAAGTTCTGAATGCTTGCAAATATGTGTGGAAATAGGGCATGTACTATTACATATTGTATGGGCTATACAGATGTTTTAATGTGCTAATCTGCTCCACACAACAATTAAAATAAACTTCTGAGGTAAATATGTCCATCATCTGAAACCAGTGGATCAGATTCTCTCTCCTCCTTCATCACTACATCACAATCCCCAAATTTCTTCTCGAAGGTTAGGAACTCGCGCTATTAAGTCATGAGATGCATCCAGTTGCAAAAGTGATTCATGGGAAAACACTTTTTTTCAAAATTAATAATATGCATATTATGAAATAAACATAACAAGACCTGAATACATTTATTAACTTTCTATTTATGTAATGACAGGATGGTTTAAAACCTTATGACACACACACATACACACATTTACTTGTCATAATAATGTTTAAAATTTATTTTTCAGGCTAAAGATATTCTCCCATTTGAAATTAATTTTTACCAATAGTTTGGTTTTTACCAAAACATGGTCTTCATTCATTGCTGGCAGGTGGTGTATCTAAATATTTACTGTTGCTTTTCAGCTGCAGAAGGTAGCCATTTGAGGAGCAGTTCTTCTAAAGAGAAAATTTCCACTTTTCAGAGAGATGTTTCAAGTCTATCAAAAAGAGATGAAAGAAGTACACTACAAACTGTAAGGGATGTCAGCAGTTTTGAAAGTGACACACAAACGTCCACTGTTGCCAATGCTACCATCTCCAGCAATTCAGATTTTGCTCATTCTTTTCATATAAAAACTCCAGAAGAGATCAGCCCAGGTTTGTTACCTGAAGACGCTGATTTTACTGAAGGAATGCTTATATCTTCTCAGGCTCCTTCAAAAACAACAGGTAAAGGATAAAGTTTTCAGAAGACTGAATTTATTTTTATTATTTTGAAGAGCCAGTTTGGTGTAGTGGTTGAGGCACCAGACTAGAAACACAGGTGTTGAGTTCTAGTCCAGCTTAGACATGAAGCCAGTTGGGCCTGGGCCTTCCTCTCAATCTTAGAAGACAGATAAGGGCAAATCACTTCCAAAAACAAACCTTGCCAAGCAAAAAGTGAAGGACTTGTCCAGGTGGTTGCCAGCAGTGAAGAATATAATAACTCAAAGGCAAATTACCTTCACCCCTAAATTATTTGTTTTGGGTTTGTGTAAGAGATAATACAAACGTGATAGAATAAGATAAAACTCTCACAGAAACAGCAATTGCTGAGATTTCTATGCATTTTGAGATCTTATGGGTTCATATATTTTTGTTAATCTACAGACCATAATAAAGATGGATTTGTTTAATTCCTATAATTAATACGTGAAAGAAATTAAAAACACTTTTTAATGATGAATTTGTTTAGATTATAGTATAAACAGTAAAGTAGTTTGATTTTTATCAAATTCCTTGTTTCTTTAGCAGCACTACCTGGCCAGAAGTGGTATTCAGCAGGTTCTGGCCAGTTCTAGTGGAAATTTTGAGTAGTTCGGAGAACCGGCAAATGCCACCTCTGAATGGAGATTTTACAGTCGCCTTCCCCTACCATGCTCACCAAGCCATGCCCACAGAACCATTAGTAAAAAAAAATTTGAATCCCACAGTTCTGGGTGAGTGGGGGAATAATGGAATGACCACAGGTGGGCAAAAAGCAGGGGGGGTGGGAGCAATTTCTGGCTTCCTGCCAGCTTCTCCATTGATTTTGTTTTTGATAAGTTGGCAGGGAGGTTTGAAATCACTGCTTCTCTTCCTCGGCTGACCTGTGGAACTGCTTGCTACTTTTCTGGGAGGGAGGAGGGAAACAAAAGGAGCTGTGCACCACGAGAAAATTGCATTCTTGCTCCTCATCTTGGCATATCCCCAAGGCCCTTCTCCCTTCAGGGACAAAGAGGGCTCACCCATCAACCATCCGTGGTCCCCGCTGAGCCCCATCTTGCCAGGAGGCATCTGAGTCACCCCCTAATCCTTTCCTTACTGCTCACTGCCATTAAGAATTACATTTCATCCCCAGTCCCAAAGCGACCAATTGCTGCTCTTCTATTGTGCTATACTATCAACCAGTTGAATGTTGGAGCCAGAGGAAGGCAGAAAAGAGAGAAGGGATATGGCCCTCCCATCTTTCCTTGTACTATGCAATCTACAGGATTTCTGAGAAATATAGTTGGAAGACACAGTGGTACTGTAGCGGCCACAGGTTTTCCAAATTTCATTCCCACGGAAGTCATGGATTGTTAATCCATTTGAGCTATCTTGGTTATCTTGTTACCCAATACCTTTCAATTTCACCCAATTGAAGGTGACAAACCAACACAAAGAGTTTTAGTGGTATATAGATGCTGCTAGTTTTTATAGAACAGTCCACTGCCAAAGTATAGTGTAATTAAGGTGAAAATGAATGGTACCAATTTAATTGGAAATAAGTGTGATTGCTTACAGATTTGGACAAGCGTTGGTCTGTTGTGAGAGAAAATACTGTTTCATTATGGTGATAAGAGTTTATCATAAGCAATCCAGTGATCCCAGAAATTGAGAGCCAATTAATGCTGATGTCAGTGGAAGTTGGTTAGGAACTTAAACTGCCCAATGCAAATAAAGAAGAAAGCAAAGTGTTATGTCCCTGGAAACAAAGCATAGCAACGTGAAAATTACTGTGTGCATGGCAATACCTTCCAATCCTTTTTGTCATGGAATGATGTATATTACAATTCTACTCTATTTTTTATTTTTATTTATTTGTATCCCACTTAATTACACAGAACTCAACACCTCTTCCGCTTCCTGTTTTCCCCACAACAACAATCCTGAGTTGGGCTGAAAGAGAATGCCTTCATGGCTAAGGCAGGACTTGAACTCCCAGTCTCCCACTTTCTAGTCTGGTACCTTAACCACAAGACCAGGGGTCCCCAATCCCCAGGCTGTGGCCCACTACCGGGCCATGGCCTATTTGGAACCAGGCAGCGCGATCAGTGGTGCATACAAATTCATGCAGCTGTGAAGAGCAACTTTTTAATTTCAAAATTGATAGAAGGTTTTCATGTACATGGTTACGAGAAAATCAGGACTAACATTAATTCCTTCCTCTTCTGTTTCAGTTGAAGAGAATGGTCAGTCACACAGCAGCCGCAGCTCAAGTACAGACGGCATTTTCTCCACTTATCACCTGAACAGCACCTCCATTTCAGTTCTATCTAGCTTAAATGGGGAGAGGACTTTACGAACCCCGAGAGATGTCAGTAATGCTCACAATGTAACACAAGGATCCATAGCCTGGCACAATGAAACCTCTAGTTCTTCAGGCCTCACCAGTTCTTCTTACCTGTTAACTCCAGTAGAAACAGATTTAACTCCTCAGACCACTGATTTCACTGAAGGAACAAGCACACATTCTCAAGCTTCTTCAGAAAAAATGGGTAAAAATGAAAGATATCTGGTTTCAGTTTTCAGAACACTACAGGAAAACCTCGACTCATGAGCACAATTGAGCCCCAAGTTCTGGTTGCTAAGTGAGACAGTTGATAAGTGAATTTTGCTCGATTTTATGACCTTTCTTGCCACAGTTGTTAAGTGAATCACTGCGGTTGTTAAGTTAATAACAAGGTTGTTAAGCAAATCTGGCTTCCCTGTTGACTTTGCTTCTCAGAAAGTCGCAAAGGATGATCGCTTAACTCCGGGACACTGCAACCATCATAAATGCGAACCAGTTGCCAATCGTTTGAATTTTGATTATGTGACCATGGTGATGTTACAATGGTCGTAAGTGTGAAAAACTCATAAGACACTTTTTTTCAGTGCTGTTGTAACTTCAAACAGTCACTAAATGAACTGTTAAGTCGAAGGCTACCTGTATTTTGCTTGGCACTTGTCCGCTCTTCTTCATGGAGCTTAATATTGTACAATATACAATATTTGCCACTGTCTTGAATCTTTTTTCCTAGAAAAAGCCACGTAGGTTCTCTTACTTCTCATCAGTTCCCTTACTTCTCCCTTCCTTATCCACATGCTAATTACGTCACGTGTTAGCGATAAGCCTCTTTCCTGCTTCTAGAAAATAATTCAGTACCAAACTGGGAAACCACAGTCAAAGTCATTAACCTTGGACAGGATCTCTATTGGTTGGGCTTTTGCTGGTCACATGATCTGCCATAGATCCCTTGCTTGATATTGCTACAGTATTAGTGCCCATCAATCTCGTCTCTTGTCACAGCCTCTCCTCACACATAGTTCTTTTCCAAACATTTGACTTAGGACCATTCAGTTGGTTTTGCAATATTAGAGGAAATGTCAAATGCATATTCCTTCTTTCATCCTGCCATTGTAAGCTTATCATAGCAATGGGTAGGAAAGAAATCATGGCTAAAGGCCACTAGGAATTCAAGGTGAGAAAACAAGCTCGCCTTTTTTCCTAGTAGTAAGGTGGATTTCATTCCACTTGTTTTAATGGATCATATATTAGAGTCATAATTCAGAATCTCCTTTCTTTGTAGTTTAATAGGCAAGTGTTTTTATCCTCTATCAGTTGTACATGGTAAAATACCGTAGACGTAGCAGTTCTGAGATTACAGTGCAGTTCTAGTGTCATTTACAGTGAAACTAAGACAAAAACGAATCATGCTTATAATTCCTTGCATTCAAATCATTAAAAAAGTATTATTTTGAATTAGCCATAACTATGTGGAAATATGTTATCAAAAACATAGGAGGAGAATTCCTCATGGCATGGGATCTGGTGGGAATATGATTTGAATGTTATGGAAAATTGGGCTGATTTCCAGATTTGGATTAGGGTAAATGGTTAAGAATATGGCTATAGATATTTGTGAAAGTTGGGATACTAGTTTCTTTAAAGATGATATTTATATAATTGTTTTAATGTATTTTTGCTTTCTTGTGTAGAAAATTCCCAAGTTATATTTCACAGCTCAATTAGTAAAGGCAATTCATTTCAAAAAAGAAAATCACTTAATTTATAAAAACAGCTCCAGTTCTAGACCATATCAATAAAGTTCTTGAAAGTTGTTGGTTAGTAATAACATTTTCTTGGAGCATTAACATACATTTAGATAAAGTGTATTCCAGAAGGAAAGACTTTTTTCTTCCAATGCAATTATTTCTGAGTAGTTCTGAAGAGATCTTCAATGGTGAAAGATCTCACTTAAAAAAATATAGGGAAAGTTGTTTTAAAGAAGATTGCCTCAAATAAAAGATAAGAGTCAAAAATGTTGATATTTAAATGCTTTAAATTAATTTCATTCTGCCATATGATAGCTGAACATAAAAATGAGCTATAAATGAAAAAAAAATAACTTCCTTTAGTTTCAGTGTTCTAGGTTGATTGTTCATTTCTTTGATAAGACAGTAGTTATTCCCTGAAAAGTTAATGTTTTCTATTAGAGCTGCATGAGTGTAGTTGTGGAAGCATATTTGTGGTGTTCCTTTAGCATATGAACATAATGCCTCTAATATTTGACTATTATATTTCAGGTGTAGAAAGCAGTGATCCACCAAACAGCAGCTCGGATATAGAGACCAGATTTTCCCATTCTGATCAGGACAGTGCATCTGTTTCAGGTTCATCAGACAGAGGGGATGAGATCACACCATCAACTTTAAGAGAAGTCAATAATGTTTTTAATATAACCCAAACATCCAGTTCTAAGAACGATAACATCACTAGCTCAAATGTTGCTGATTCTTCTTATACAATGACACCAAGACACACCACAGAAACGAATTCATCATCTGGGAATAATGATTTCACTGAAGAAGCATTTACATATTCTGAGGCTCCATCAGAAACAACAGGTAAATGAGAGGAATATCTTGTTATGTCAGATTTCAGAGTAATTTTTAAGTTGGTTGATGTAAATCAGATTCCTGTGGAAAAAAGAATCAGAATATCAGCTTCTTTTCTAAGAATCCAATAATGGGGTTTGTTGTTATTAAACACTTTTCACAATGGGAACTTTGTTCATAAGTAATTTATGAACAAAAATGCTTTGGCCCTTTTCTTACATTCTCTTTTCCAAATTTTACATTCTCTATTCTGATTGTTTTCTAGCATACGTTCAAAGCCATGTCAAATGTTACATCAATTTTACAGGACAATTTTTCCTAATCTGATAATCTCCAGGTACTTTAGAACAATCATTTATCAGAATACCCGAAGGATATTTTCTGCCCTTACATGAGAAGTGGGACATGGAGCTCTTTAACATAATGAAATCTAAAAATGAATCTATTATTAGCAAATTAATTAGTTTAATTATGACATGTCTGTGTAAAGTAGCCAGATTTAATATGAAATGCAATAATAAAACTTTCAATAATTTGGTACACAGTAATACAGAAAATGAAACATTAATTTTCAATTTTAAATGGTCCATAGAGTTGGATAGGATGTCACAACATCCCCATCGTCACGTGATCAATATTTGATCAGCTGCATCATCTAGGTTTTAATTTTTTAAGTTCTATTTGAATGGAGACTGACATGACAATTGTATTGAAAAGCGTAGTATTTTTTTTTTTTTTTTTGCCTTTTAATGACCCTGTAATCCCTTCCCGAGGTGGAGTCTGGGCAGCTGAATGCCCTTCCTGTCACCAATGCAGAGTTTGCAGCAGATAATTACTCATTGTGCACAGAGAGAGAAATATCTGCCACTATCTAGGACCGTGATGGCAAATCTATGGAACGCGTGCTGGAAGTGGCATGCAGAGCCATTTCCTCTGGCACACAAGAGCTCGCCCGGAAGAGCCCCACTGCACATGTGCGCGTGTGGCCGCCACCCTACAGCTGAATGTCGGGTATCTGGCGTGCATGCGCAGGGATGCAGGGGTGTGCAGGAGACACGTACACATGCACAGAGACATGCAGCGTGTGCTGGGGGTTGCATGTACATGTGCAGAGATGCATGGTGCGTGGAGGGATTGTGCCTGCATGTGCAGATGGATGGCGGCAGGGGTGATTGCGCGCGCATGTGCAGGGATGCACGGTGCGTGGGGGGTGATTGCACGTGCATGCGCAGATGCATGGTGCACGGCGGGGGAATCGCACGTGCAGAGACATGCTGCATGTGGTGGAATCACATGCGTAGATGCAGAGATGCATGGCATGCGGTGGGGGAATCTACACAGAGATGCACGGCACGTGGCAAGGAGATTGCGCACACATGCGTAGACACGCAGCGCACTGTTGGGGGATTGTGCATGCATGCACGGGGGGCAGCACACATTACCTTCTGGATGCAATTATCAGCACAGGAGCCAAAAAGGTTTGCCACCACTGATCTAGGATCAAACTCACAACCAGGGGTGGGATTCTACCAGTTCGCACCTATTCGCTAGAACCAGTTGTTAACATCCTAAGCAGTTCGGAGAACCGGTTGTTAGAAGAAATTACTGGCCTAATCCTGTAAGGAAGGCAGGAAGGAAACATTCTGGTGTTGCTTACAGAAACTGCCTCTCCGTTAACCCTTATTACATTCTTGGCAGGACTAGACTTCCTGTCTCAGGAACTTCTCTGGAGTTTTTTTCCTCTCCTTTGCTGGTACTTTGCTTGTGTGGAGTGACCATTCAAAGTTAGAATGGCACTGAAAAAAGTGACTTATGACCATTTTTCACACTTACGACTGTTGCAGCATCCCCACAGTCATGAAAGGCCGGGCGAGGAGATGCGTGCCTCGATGTGAGTGATATTGAGTTGGCCACACCCTGCCAATAACATGACCACCAAGCCATGCCCACCAACTAAGCCACGCCCACAGAACCGGTTGTTAAAAAATTTGAATCCCATCTCTGCTCACAACCTCCTGATTGTGAGGCAAGAGTTCTACCTCTAGGCCCCTGCACCACTCTATTGAAAAGTGTAGTAATAATATAAATAAAATTAGACTACAACATAAAGTATACTCCCTTGAATGCCCGGGAACTTCTCAACAAACAATGATTCTTATGCTAACTTATACAGTATGTATTCTAGTAGTCAGAAGCTCTAATGCACAGGTCTCAAATATGCGGTGTCCCTTTGGTGTCCCATGATGTTTTGTGATGTTTTCCCCCTTTGTGAAGCTGGGGTGGGTGTGGCCTGTGCGTGACGCATCCAGACGGCAGGCTGCCAGTTTGACACTCCTGCTCTAATATATAGAAATATCTAATGATTGCCTCTTCTCTTACAGACACCAAAAGTAGGCCACATGCCTTGAGCCACTTCAATGTAGAAAAGAAGGCCACTCAGACTGAGAGTATGTTCTCTTCTACTGTGATCCAAGATGAGACCTTTGGATCTTTAACTAATCAGAGCAGATCCATAGACACAACGGAATTGTCACGGATTGATACAAAAAATGCTGGTTCTTCTGTGATGATCCAGATGTCGTCTGCCACATTGCGAAGTAGTAAAGAAAATTCCGCCTCTACTGAAATGGATTTCACAGAATCCCTAGAACAGTCTTCAGATACTACTTCATCAAAAGCGTCAAGTTATTCATCTTCTATGAAAGATTTTTCAAGTGAGTTTTTTTTCTTGTTATGGTTATAGTTATAAATCCATCAGAGACCAGGTTGTCAATTCATTCCCTTGTAGGCCTTCCAAATTGCTCTCTCCCCCCACTTCCTATTTACATTTTTTTTAAAAAAATAAAGTCTATTTTCACTGACCCATACAACTGCAGGAATGAAGCTTGCAAATGGTAGACTTTTTCTAAGGTGACCAACTTTTTTACAATGAGAAGGAGGACACAAATAAAGAAGAAAAAAAACAAAGCCACTTGTGCGTGGCGCACTCTTGGGTGCAGCACATTCTTGCACATGGTGCACTCTTGCGCACAGTATACTCTTGCGCATAGCACACTCTCTCAAAACAATTCTCCTGTGTGGAGCGCATGCATCTCACAATCGTGTCTCGCCGCACTGTACCGAGCCTTGATGAATCGCCATGTCAAATACAAATACATCACATCACACACAATGGATCAGATTGGCATTGATCAAATATGGAGATTTACAGATTAGTCTTCAAATATCAAAAAGGAGGACATGTAGGAGGACACTTTTCGAGAGAGGACAGAACTTACAAAAGGAGAGTTGGTCACCTTATCTTTTCTCTTAGGTCTCACACTTTTATCTGACAAAAATGTTCAAGTATTCTTTATTTATTGTAGCATTATTAAGCGTCCATTGAAACTATGTGATAATTATATTTATTTTGCACAAATACAAGGATGTGAGGACTCTTCTAAATATATGTGGAAAGCAAGGTTGTGATGTAAAATGATGTATTTAGAAGCAGCTCTGGTTAAAGACAAGGCCATTTTTCAACTGGCCAAACGTATACCTTCCTTCTATAGCCCCTTGGAATATTCATTCATTGAGATGATTTAAGATGAAAATGCATAATGCAAGTATTCCTCAACTTACAACCTGTCACTTAATGACCATTCAAAGTTACAACAGACCCCAAAAAGGGGACTTAGGACCCAGATCTGAAGTTATAATGGTTGGCCCTTCCCCATAGTCACGTGTCTGCATTGTATGATGGTTTTGCAACAAAACAGCATACATAGCAAACTATTGGCTCATTTAACGACCATGGCATTTGTATAGTGGTGATTTGCTTAACAATAACGATAAAAAAACATAAAATCAGGTGACTCACATGATTGACTGATTTTACAACTGTTATGACTTATGAATGCAATGGGCAGTCTCCATTAAGGCTGTAACTCGAGGACTATTTCAATTCAGAATAGAGCCGGAAGGGATCTTGGAGGTGTTCTAGTCCAACCCCCTGCCCAAGCAGGAGACCCTATACCATTTCAGATAAGTGGCTGTCTGTCCAGTCTCTTCTTAAAAACTTCCAGTGATGAAGTACCCACAACTTCAGAAGGCAAGCTGTTCCACTGATTAATTGATCTCACTGTTAGAAAGTTTCTCCTTAATTACAAGCTGCTTCTCTCTTTGATTAGTTTCCATCCATTGTTTCTTGTCCTGCCCCCTGGTGCTTTGGAGAATAAATAACCCCTCTTCTTTGTACCCATCAAATACTGGAATACTGCTATCAGGTCACCCCTAGTCCTTCTTTTCTCTAGATTAGCCATACCCAAATCATGCAACTGTTCTTCATATGTCTCCATTTTGTCTCCAGGCCCTTAATCATCTCAGTTGCTCTTCTCTGCACTTTTTCCAAAGTCTCAACATCTCTTCTGTAATGTGGTGACCAAAACTGGATGCAATATTCCAGGTGTGGTCTTACTAAGGTTTTATAAAGTGGCACTAATATTTAACCTTATAGTATAGATACTGTATTACCTATAGCATAAAATGTTATTAACTGTGATAAGTGAAATTTGAGTCAATTCTGATTTTATGGCAATGCTGGAAAAAATTCAAATACTTGTTAGTTATTGGTAGCTATGTTCTCCATAAGATTCCATTTTATTAAAAAAAGTCATCTCTTTATATGCAACTACATATTAATTGAAAATAGTGATAGAAATGAGAAGCAAAAATAACTTTGTAATGCACTCAGACAGTTTAGAGTAGTGTTTAAGGCACTGGACCAAAAATCAGGGGACTGTGAATTCTAGTCCTACCTGAGGTACAAAAGTAACTGTGTGACCTTGAGCCTGTGACACTCTCTCAGTCCTAAGAAGCAGGTAAGGGTAAACCACTTCCAAAAAAATTCAAGGGCTAGTCCAGTTGATAGTCAACAATGCCTTGAAACCACACAAAAAATATCCACCCAGAGGTACAAACACAAACAATATAAACCCCTGTTTATAAACTTTACCTAGTAAAAGACAGATGAACTGAACCTCACCTTTTCTACTAAGCTGTAATAAGATTAGCACAAAGTCACAATAAAAATGGTTTTGTTTTGTTTTTAAAAAAAATCAAAGTCTTATAACAAGGATATAGGGATTATGCCTAGAAGTTTAATTCACAGCATGTCTCTCTGGACAGAGAATAATCATGCTGTGTTGAGTTAACTTTAAATCGTTGAGAGTCAGTTCTTTTATTGTGCCCCTCAATTTGACTTGTAATGTTGGAACACATTGCACAAGTGGTGCTTATGAAATCTGAATTTTTAATCTTAATTAAGGCTCTACAGACCATTTTCAAACCATTAAGGGATCTGAGGTGGGAAGAAGATTTTCGATTGCTTCAACAGACAGCGTCTATCTATCAACCACATTTGTACATGGGGCAGAAAGGACTTTAAGATCCCTGCCAGATAACAGCACGTCTGATGATGCAGCAGACAGCAACTCTTACAATTCCCAAACTTCCAAATCTTCAGGGGAAAGCTTGACTTTGTCTTCAGAGCCTGAAACAGAAACACATAATGCCTCACTAAGTGAAGTGCAATCTATTGGGCCTTCTACTGAGTATTCAACAGAATATTCCTCTGGAGTTCCTACAGCCTTGTCACCAAATGATTCAGCAAGTAAGTTTGCAAAGAACAAAGGAAAATGTGGGCTAAAATCAGTATGGTTTGTATTGTGTATGTCCAACATGGTAAATGCGTGTATATGTACCTATAGCATATATAAATGGGCATGAATGTCTGTTTCTGTAGACATATCCAGTATGCAGAATCAAAATACTATATTTATGATGAACTATATAACTTGTTTGGATTTAGTTTGTGCAGAAGTAAATGTGTATGATCTAAAAGGCAACCACAATACATTCTGAGCCAATCAAATATAATTACTTCCAGGGCAGTACTCCATTTCAAAATGCAAGGTTACATTTCTAATTCACAGTGCTTAATATTATAAATAATATGACTTCCGATACTTAATTATCTGCCATTTTAAACATATGTGTCCAAATTATTATTTCAGCTATTGGAAGCACTGATAATTCAACTAGTGGGCCAAGAGTTTTGCATTCTCCCACAATCAGCACTGGTAGTTCAGCCCCCTTCAGTGAAGGGGAACAGCAAAATACACAACCTACAATTAACACTACAGTGATGGAAGAGACTGAAAGTGTCTCATCATATATGGAAAATTTTGACAGCACAAGATCAAAACCTTCCTCATCCAAGACATACTCTAGAATGACACATTTATCTCTAAAAGATTTGGATATCTCTCCATCTTCAACTGAGGCTTTCCAAATTCTTAGTTCATCAACTGATTCTTCTTCCAAAAGTGAACTTTCAGGTTAGTTTTCTATTATATTCTTTTGCCAGCATCAAAGCCAATTCCTGTCTGGGTTTTTTTTTCTTAGTATGTAAATGAATTGTACTTTTCTTGGAGAATATTTTATTTGATGTTTCTAAAAGTGTATCAGTAAAGCACTTGAATATATTCATGGTTCCTTTTTTTTTTTTTTTTTACTTCCAGATCAAGTAACATTAAATGTTCTCTGAATGTGACATGTATTATTCCATTAGTAATTGACAGGCATAATAGGCACTGAGTTCCATGTTGGTTATATCTAATATTTAATACTTCTTTATGTTCTAGTTTGTGACTCCTTTAAGTAGCTCATGTAACCTGAAGGAAAGGGCCTTTTCTTTGTGGGATAACCCGTCCCATAGCTTCTTAGGACATGTTTTGTATGAATAAGTTTCCAACATGAGATCCTAGTTTTTTCCTTAGGAAATGGGTCAAAGCAGATGAAAAATGCTATCTGAGACTTCAACCAGCCACAGCTATTCCAAGAAATACAACTTCCACAATCCATTTGACCCATTGATTGTCTCCAGAATTTTCACCTATTCTGAAAGTCAGACTATTTTGTGGGAGACATCAGGAATTCTACTGTTATGTAGAGTCAGCCAGATGTTTAGACTGGATTTGTCGTTTTTGTTCACTATCCCAAGGACCTGGGATAGGCAGATATTGTTGATGATGGTGTTAAAGGCACTGTCACAGGATGTAAGCTGTTCCAAGTCAAGCTGCCTTTTGCAATTGATCAGTGGTGATTTTGCCAATGCTGGTGGTGTGCCAGTGGTGCTTCAGTTGTTTTGGGATTGCATCCAAGGCACCTATTACTATTGGTTATTATCTTTGCCTTCGTTGATTACAGTCGTTTTACTCTTATTTATACATTATTAGTCTTATTATTTATTGTAATAGAGTTGGAAAGCATTCACTTGAGTCCCAGAACGTATGAGAGGATTCAGAAGAACAGCGTGCCATAGTATTTGACAAGGCAAAACCATTGCAGAAAGACTGATGATGATCAGTATACCTTGACATTTCACATCCTGTGAAATGGTAAAGTCTAGCCATATCCTAGCTCATCCTTGCTATTATATGTCCTCTGGTATAAAAGTGACTCCCAAAACATACACCTTCTGTCTGACCAGATCTCAGAAGTCCCTATCTAAGAAGACTGTGGGACAAAGAACCTGCCAAAGAAACCACAGAAAGTAGGCCGTGTAATAAGATCATCCATTCCTTGGTTTGGAATGCTCTGAGCCAGTAAACTGGAAAGTAGAAGTTCCAGGATTCTAGCATTTATTTTGAAATGTACCTTAGACCGTTATCTCTTTCATTTTTCTCTTACGAATAGAAAGTTTGTCTCAATAGTTAATTGTGATTTGTTTCTTTTTTAGATACTGGAACAGAATACCAACCAATAAGTGGGACTGATTTTGGGAATCAGACCTCTGCTTCTCATACTGACAGCACATACACTTTAACTACCTTTGCCAAGGGTGGAGAAAGGACATTGCTGTCTCTTCCAAACAACAGCACATCAGCTGATTCCTCAGGAAGTTCCACTTACTCTGCAGAAATATCCAGTGCTTCGGAGTCAGTTCAGTCTTTCTTTTCAAGTGAAATGGATTTTTCTGAAAATTCAACAGAACCTTTGGCAGTCCATTCCCTGAAAACACCAGAGAATTCGTCTACAATGAGTGAACCAAACACAACTCAGTATTACTCAGAATCAGAATCTGCCTCCACTGGCAGCTTGTCATTTTCATCTTCCCCTACAAGTCTGTCAGAGCAGGATTCACTTCCACCAGTTCACCCATCCACTTTGTTTTCCTCAGCCAAGTCTTCTGCCCCATCCTCTTTTTCTACTTTCCCGTTACCATTATCGTCATCTCCACCCACATCTCTAATGACATTTTCGCCCATGTTCTCATCCACAAAACCACCCCCATTGCCTTTCTTTCCCTCTGTGTTGCCTTCACTTTCTTCAACACCTTCGTTGTTACAGCCTAGCGAAAGTCTTGAAACCAGTGTTTCTATGACTGAGCCTGAAGGAACAACTGGAGCAGAACTACACACGACTAGAAGCTCCCATGGCGAATATAACCGTCCAACTATGGCATATCCATTGGTGAACAACACTATTCTGATGGCAACTGGGACTTCTCTTCTGATGGAAATTACTGAACAGCCTGCCAACCGTTCTTCACCAAGAACCACTTCCCAAGAGGAAACGAAGGGATGGACACTTAGTCTCCCAGGAATCAATACTGAGAATGAACCCATTACAAGTACCTCTTCACCCTATTTCCAGGAAATGACCACTACTTCTGAGCCAGCAAAAGCAACTACGGCTATACCGTTGCATACAATCCCTCAAAAGGATACTTTCCCTTCATCAACAGTAACCATGGGCAAAAAAACTACAGAAATAATACACACACCTGGAAGATTGCCTACTTCAGCATCAACCATGAATTATTTGTTCACTACAAAGCTTCAAAAGGTTCCATTGCCCTCTCCTACTGAAATATCTTCTTCCCCTGGAATTCCCACAAAAATGATGGAAAAGAACAGTACAACTACTGTGAAAACCACAGCGCCCAGGATTGTTATTACCACTTCTCCCTATACCTTAACTTCTCACAAAAGCACTGTTCAGTCTTTTCCTGCTTCACCGATTCCTTCCAGACCAACCACAACTGCGAGTTTAGGAAGCTCAAAGATATCTTCAACTGTCTATAGAAAAGGTACCTTTGTTTGCAAATATTGGAAACAATATTGGCCTGAAAAATGAATTTAACCTGTGGTAGATAATTGCATACTGGAATAGGAGCACTTTGCCTAGATTAAAAAAAAAAGTATTTGAATTTCATGGAGATCAGAGTAAGATGTAAATATGCCATATAGAGTTAAAAGTTATTTAAAAATGGGAAAGGAACATCTTTATACTATGAAAAGGCCAGACAAAAATAATTATTTGTAAGTCAGTTTCTTAAAAACAAATAGCAGCAAACGCGCAAAGAAACACTTAAACATACTGCTAAGTAATGGTGGAAATGTTGATCTTTTCTATAATCACAAGAGCATATGCAATTTAATTAAGTGGAAGAAGGTGAAAAGAAATCTCAATGTATATTATCTACCATTCTGTGGCACAGTGGCTCAGCAGTTAAGAACCTGGGCTTGTTGGAAAGCCAACATTCCAGGTTCGAGACCTGAGCGCAGCACGACGGGGTGAGCTCCCATCCTCGCCTCAGCTTCTGCCAACCTAGCAGTTTACAAATGTGAGTAGGTGGGAAGATATCAGCACTCTGACATCGTACTGGCCCACATGACTGTGGAAATGTCTTTGGACAATGCTAGCTCAATGGCCTTGAAACAAAGATGAGCACTACCCCATTAATTCATGAACAACTAGCAGAGTAAAATCCACAGGGTCTCTTTTCTTTAATTATCTACCATTCCAGAGTGCTCAAGTCTCATAATAAATGTTTGCAATGGTCATTCACAATTACAGAATTCATGTAATCACCATGTAATCTGAAATCACAATTTTGAGTACTTGAGGTCTATTTCAGGTCAACTGTTTGAGAAGAGAAACTTTGTCTTTAACATCAAGTAGTCAATATTATTAATAGGTGTCATAGGCTATCTTCCAGACGATAAATGTGTATTATACCAAGTACTTGGTATCCCAGTATCTGAGAAGCTGAAAGTAGTGCCCTAACCAGCAAGGAAATGATTTGATAATTGTACAAGCCTGCAAACAGGCCTAATCCTTTCGTCTATAAATGATGTAAAGTTTAATTTTATCCTCTCTGGCCTATTGGCATAGAGATTTTTTTTTTTTTTGCTAAAGTGATTAATCCTGCTAAAGTTTTATTTTCTATCTGGAGCTGGAAGATGGCTGAATCCTCAGCTGGCCTTTTGCTATAGCTCCAAGTAAGTAACTTATATCTCATTAGGTTCTGCCAGACTCTCATTCCTTAGATTGTGCCACAGACATTCAATGACCGCCATAACATTAGCATCTGGATGGATGGATGGATGTCGAGTCACTCACTTTGTCATAAATCAACTGTTTCTCTGTTCACCCTGGAACAGAGTGCTTTCTATTGAAGACATACATCATTCTACAGTGGCCATTTTCCTCCTTTTCTTTCTTCTGTTTCTGATGTAGATGAATGCCTGCCTAATCCTTGTCCACCTATGTCTACATGCACTCATGTACAAGGTTCATTCCAATGCATTTGTTCCTTGGGCTATCAGATGGGAAAAGGAAAATGCAACTTAGGTAAGAGCCAAGAAGCAAAATAATAATAGCTAAAATATTGTCATTGTAAAAAAAAAAATTTTAAACCAAAAATGTATTTAACTTCATTTTGCTGATTAGTGACCTTAAGTTGACACTGTATATTGTATTACATTACTGTATATATTAGAGTTCTGATATTGTCAGCTTGATTATATAATAGTCAGTTAGGAGAATTCTTGGCAGTACAGTTGACTTTGAACTTCAGAACTAGAATAGAATATAATTCTTTATTGGCCAAGCGTGATTGGACACACAAGGAATTTGTCTTGGTGAAATACTCTCAGTATACATAAAAGAAGAGATACATTCATCAAGAGTCAAGAATCATAAGGTACAACACTTAATAATAGTCATAGGGTACAATAACAATCAACTAAGCCTAACTTTTGGGCAAGATGATTACATTCAAGTTACTGACAGGTATGGGATTCATATATAGATATATATGAATAGCACGTGTCTTAAACACTGATTTGATGACTGGCTCAACTGCCATTGTTAAAGCATACACACACGAATCCAATTCAGGTGGTACCTGCTCCAGCATTAGACATTATTCATATGGTTTAAACTAAGTTTTTTTTTAAAAGACTGACAATTTCAGGTTAAAATATTCATTTGAGTCTCCCTACTCTTCTCACTGCATCCTGAGTCATAGTTTTCTCCAATTTTCTCCACTGAAATCAACGGTCCTGAAAAGGCGAATGTGTGTGAAAACTCAAATAAAGCTCTTTAGGTTGTCCCAAAGGTGCTTTTTTTCAAGAGGCAAGTGGACTGTCTCATTTTTCTTTGAAGATGTTTTGCTTCTCATCCAAGAAGCTTCTTCAGCTCTGACTGGATGGTGGAGAATGGAAGGATTTATATTCCTTGCAGGCAGAGAATCATTTGCATTCTTTTAAGGAGTATAAATCCTTCCATTTCCCACCATCCGGTTCAGAGCTGGAGAAGTTTCTTGGATGAGAAGCAAAATGTATTCAAAGAAAAAACAGACAGTCCAGACAGGTTTTTTTTGGAAAAAAAAAAGCACCTTTGGAACAACCATGACCTGGATGGCTGAGAATCTCCATGGACTCTTAAGGTTGTACTTTAGCTCATCACTCTTCTTGCTACGGATGACTATCCCTATCAAGGCAGCATGGGAGTTCACCTGGTGATACCCTCCCTTGGGGATAAGAACCTTCTGAGTCAATCTAAGCTCTGTAATAGGTTGGGAATGCAAATGATCGTGGCCACAGACTATGTATGGTGGTTTGACATTGAAATGAGACACAGGGAACTGTCTCTGAGA